ATTTGTGGTACGATATCATTGGTGAGTAACCGAATTCATCTCCTTTCCTGAATCGATCCTTATCTTTGTCTGAAAGATAATGAAAAAAAAAAAAAAGAGTTAATATTGATTTTTTTAGTAAAATAAAAATATTATAAAAATAATACTTGTAATAAAAGGAAAGCTCCTTTTGGTTTTTTATTATTTTCAAAGAAGAAAAGAAACGAGAAAAACCTCGAATTTTCCAGACGGCGACAAAAGGGACGAATTCTTCATCGGTCGAGACAACGGGAACGTGCTGCTCGCGAAGAAACTCGACTGGGAAACGCAAAACTTTTACAACCTGACGATCCGCGTGACGGATAGCGTGGACTCGGCCGTGACTCAACTTCTGGTCAACGTGATCGACATCAACGATCACAGGCCTGAATTCACCGAGAGCGTTTATCACGTGGACATCTCTGAGAACGTGGAAAAAGGGGAGAAGATCCTTCAGCTGCACGCAACCGACGAGGACGAGGACAAGAAAGTGTTCTACAGCCTTCACGCTGCCCAGAATCAAGCCTCGTTGGAGATCTTCCACGTAGATTCGGTGACGGGGGCCGTTACGTTGAACGAGGTCCTCGATCGGGAGACGATCGAGGAGCACGTACTCACCGTGATGGTTAAAGATCAAGGGACACCGGCGAAACGAAACTATGCCAGAGTTATAGTAACGGTACACGATCACAACGATCATGCCCCGGAGTTCATTAGCGAGATCATCCAAGGAAAAGTGTACGAAACCTCTCCCATAGGAGCTGCTGTGGTTCAAGTGTACGCCATAGACAGGGACAAAGGAGACAATGCAAAGATCACTTATTCGATTACCTCTGGGAACGTGGGCAACATGTTCACCATAGATCCGAATCTAGGCGTGATCCGAGTCGCTCGGGAATTAGATCTGAGCGCCTCCTCGGAATACATATTGTTGGTAAAGGCTACCGATCACGGCTCCCCGGCATTGGCCAACACAGTGCCTGTACACGTGATGGTAACAATGGCCGACAATGCGCCACCTAGATTCATCCAGAAGGAATTATCCGCCGAAATTTATGAGAATCAACAGCTGGGCACTTACGTGAAACACGTGGAAGCTAGAAGCACGTCCTCTTTGCAGTTCGAGATCGTTCAAGGGAACAAGGACGACACGTTCTTCGTGAATCCGAGCACAGGCATCATAGTGATCAAGAACGAGCTGGACTACGAGAAGACGAAATTTTACAACTTGACGATAGCGGCGACCAACATGGCCAGCGCGAAGGCGCATTGTAACGTGATCGTCCACGTTCTCGATCGAAACGACAACGCGCCAAGATTCCTGCAGGCCGCGTATAGCGGGGAGATAAGCGAGGGCGCCACTATAGGCTCCTTGGTGCTCACCAACACGAGCACGCCACTCGTCATAAAGGCGGAGGACGCCGACTCCGAGCTGAACGCCCTCTTGAATTACGACATAGTGGAGGACTTGCCGCGAAAATACTTCCACATAGACTCGAGCACGGGCGCTATCAGGACGGTAATGGTCCTGGATCACGAGACCGTTCCCAAGTTCACCTTCCACGTGAAGGTCTCCGATCTAGGGAAACCGAAACTGTCCTCCGAGACTACCGCAAAGGTGATGATCCTCGTCACGGACGTAAACGATTGCCCGCCCAAGTTCCTCGAAAACGACTACAACACCACCGTGCTGCTACCCACGTACAAGAATGTCGCGGTGATCCGAGTCACCGCCGTGGATCCAGACAGTTCCGAAGGAATTCCACTCAGGTATTGCTTGAACTATTAACACGCATGCTTTGATTCATATTTAACCTATCTTTGTGAGACTCGTGGTTTTTAAGAAATTTGAAAAACCAAAAAGTGTCAGCAGGAGTCTGACTCGATGCGTGATCGAACTTCTTGTGTATTGTGAAAATTGTGAAGAAAATAAATAGGAATGAAATTTAAATGGTTTTTCCTACCTGCCTAATATCAAAAAGATATACCTTTCGAATTAGAAAATCTTGCAAATAAGTAATATCTCTGTGTCTTCCGATTCAGATACGACATCATCGATGGAAACAAGGCGCACACGTTCGACATAGATTCCCAAACCGGGGTGATCACCGTATATAATCCTGAACGAATGAAGAAAAGTTATATGCTACGGGTCCGCGTCTCGGACGGGAAGTACTCGAGCGTGTGCCAGGTGAACGTGATGGTGGAGAAGTCGGAGAACTCGGGTCTGATGTTCCAGAAGGACGTCTACGAGGGTACCATACCCGAGAACTCGACTAGAATCACCACTGTCGCGGTCGTGAACGTTTTGGGGAGCGCGTTGAACGAGCACATTGTCTTCACCATTCTGAACCCGACCGACATGTTTGTAATTGGATCCACATCGGGCGCGATCCGAACCACCGGGATTAGATTCGACCGGGAGGTTTGCGACCATTACGAATTGATAGTGGAGGCGAGGAGTCAGATGGCGGGCAGGGAGAAGCCGAGGGTGGCGCACGTGATCGTAAACGTCACTATATTGGACATCAACGACAACTGTCCAATGTTTGTTAACTTGCCCTATTACGCCGTCGTGTCCGTGGAGGCGCAGAAGGGCGACATTATTACGAAGGTAAATGGATTACGGCCAAAACTGGATCTTTGGAATATTAACCTTTTGCGCTCCAACGGTGACTCTCAGTCACCGCTCAGAGTAATGCGATAACTCCAGAGATGACTCACCGACACCATTTAGATTGATACAGCAATTCGAACGATAATATTTATTTATGTTTGATTTTTTTTTTTAATATGGCTTCGTGAAGAGACTCTTAAACTTTTTAAGTAATAATCTTATAAAGTGTAGAATAATATACTATTAAATGATTAGATTTTTATGTGAAATAAGACCGTGATCTCGGATCGAGTTTGACATCCGTGGCGATAGAAAGTTTCTGAGTTTTGTAAGCGTGGGGAACTGTAATGAAATTAGTTCAAGTGGAGACGAGTTTGATTTTTCGTCATTAAATAACGAAATTATTTCTATTTGTTAAGAAATTGATAATAGAGAGAAGGAAAATAGCGATAAGAATAGAGATGTAGTGCAAGAGGATGAAAAATAAGAATAATAGACGATAAATGAGAACACGTTATTGGGATTGTAAGGTATTTGTAACGATATTTCATCGTGATATTTGCTCTGACAAACTTGATGTTCAACAATTTAACATTCAATAAATTATCTTTCTTCATATGTGAAGATAGATAAAATATTAAAATATAAAAGTTTTATACAGTTAATTTTTGTGCGAAATCATTTTAAATTAGCAAAGAAATTCACCGAATCGTCTGGAGTCGTTGGTTCGCCCGGAGTGCAAAAGGTTAAGTGGAGTTAGGATCTGGTAAATTTTGTAAATTCCTTGCTTCTCACGGAGAGCTTCAATTGATCCGCAGGTGCATGCAATAGACATGGACAGCGGCGACAACGGAGAAGTTAGATACGAGCTGAAGAAGGGCCACGGAGAGTTGTTCAAGGTGTGCAGAAAAACAGGCGAGATATCTCTGAAACAGAATCTGGAGGGTCACAATCGCGAATATCAACTCACTATTGCCGCATACGATGGAGGTATATAGTAGTGGCGCGGGCAATTTCATTTCAGAATTTACATTTTGATCAAAGTTTAAACAGCATTCGAAATTGTTTAAACTTGATTCCAGGCATTACACCGTGCTCTATCGAGGTGCCGGTGAACGTAAAGGTGATAGATCGATCGATGCCAGTGTTCGACAAGCAATTTTACACGGACAGCGTGCTCGAAAGTATTGAGATACATTCGCCTCTAGCTTTGTCTATACAGGCCCAGTCGCCGTTGAATCGCAAGTTGATATACAGTATAACGAAAGGGAACGATTTCGAGGAATTCGCTCTGGATTTCAACACAGGTGAGCGAGCTTTCGTTAGTCGCATGGCAGAACAGTTTTTCAAAAAAAAAACCGTGGATGAACGATGAAACGAAGATTGAATTAAACGCGCAACGGCCGGGCACGGAACGATGAAGTTGCAACACACAAACAATGTATCTTTCGACAACACGCACGTTAAGATTTAAAAAACTGCCACGTTTTCGATTCTCGTCCATTCTTCTCTCTCTCTCTCTATCTCTCGCGTTAGTTCTCTTCTTCTTTCTTTTTT